AGCTATAGGAGGAGATTCAGGTGATAAGGTGTGTGTGGGGGGGGGGGGTTACCTTGGTTGCTGATTGGCTAATGGTTACACAAGCCAAAAAATCGTTATGACATCATAAAGCGGCCAAAATCTGATCAGCTCATTTTCAGACACATGTTGATGTAGAAAAGACATGAAGAAAAGGATTTTGCATAATAGGTGACCTTTAAGTGACAATTTAATAAAAAAACATAAAAAGTATTTGCTTTTATATAAGGTTATGAACAGTTTAATCTCCACTATACATCCGGGTCTCTGATTTGATTTAGTTCCAATAAATCGTAATATTGTAACCTTTTTTTTGGAGGGGGGCCATAGGGGGGTCCCTGGTCAGTGTTACGGGGGCACACTGGAACCGACACATTGTATGAGACATGAAGAGACCCACACCCATTTGTACACACACACACACACACACACACACACACACACACACACACACACACACACACACACACACACACACACACACACACACACACACACACACACACTACACACACACAGACCTAATCACTGAATCATTAGCCTGGCACATTTCCTCCTTCATGCTGACTGTCCTAATGATTCAATTTGATTCAGACAGTGTGATTTGATTTTGCTCATGCTGTTTGGGTTCGTTTGGATTGGTTTGTTGATGAGGTGAGACCAGAAACATGCGACAGGGTCTGGAGGACTATGATTGATGATGTTTATGAGTAATACGGGCAAGCACCAAGTTAAATTATTGATATGCCTATTGCACTCGCTAATACATTTGTGTCCTCTGTGCGAGAAACAGACCCTTCTCTAAGTTTGAGCAACATCCTGTAATAAAATGTTATGGTTGAAAATGACATTGGAAAAAGTAAACTGTCATCAATCCAACCAATGAAAGACTTCATAGGAAGTCATGTCTTTGCTTTTGCAACTATATTAAAGTCAGTCTTGGCGTCATAAGCCACCGCAAAGTCACCATTGTTCCTTCTTGTTCAATCTTCTTGTTTTCCTAATTTCCCAGAAATACAGAAGGTTTTTAAATGGCTTAGCTTTACAACTAGCTCAATGGTGGTGATATGTGTCACTTCTCTCAGATTGCTAAGTAACTCTGAAGGACAGACAGCAAAAAGGGGAGCGTCTTCGCCACAAAGCCAGCCACAAAGTCCAGCGGGAGGAGCATGAGCATCTCAATGTCAGAAAGCAGGCGATTTATTAAAACATCATGGGAGATTAGTTCAACGTGCGGTTATTGGTTTTCTAATGGAACATTCTGTTAATCCTCTCGCACACACTCTCCGCTGTCTTCCATAAAGAAATTTCAGTGAGTTAGTGCCTCCATGTTTACAAATTGCCTTCAGCTTTGCGGTGACACTTTCGATTTTGAGAGAGACGAACATTTGCATTTTTCCCTCGCTCCCCACGCTAAGATAATAGCTTGGCAGCCGAGCTAGTAGCTGGCTTGGCATGAGACGATGTGTGAGTGTACGTATCTGTACGCACGTGTGTGTGTGTGTGTGTGTGTGTGTGTGTGTGTGTGTGTGTGTGTGTGTGTGTGTGGGTGTGTGTGTGTGTGTGTGTGTGTGTGTGTGTGTTTGTATGTGTATGCGCGCGTGTGTGTGTGTGTGTGTGTGTGTGTGTGTGTGTGTGTGTGTGTGTGTGTGTGTGTGTGTGTGTGTGTGTGTGTGTGTGTGTGTGTGTGTGTGTGTGTGTGTGTGTGTGTGTGTGTGTGTGTGCCTCCAGTGGTGGTGCACGGTAGCGCCTGGATGCTTGCGCTGTTCTTGTGAGTGTAGAAACATCAGCATGTGCAGATGTATTGACTTAATATGTTTGAGTGTGAATGTGATCACATTTTTGTGGATTTGTGTGTGTGTGTCTGAGACTCCAAAATGCCCCTGCTGCAGTTAGGCCTAACTGACCCTGACAAAGCTGCGAGAAGCACACACGGATGAGGAGGGGATGGAGAAAAAGAGGGCTATAAGAATAAAGGCACATCTGGCTTTATTGACCGGACTCTCAAACTCTCTACATTTTAGCATTTTTCTTTGCAGGAATGAGTTCCAAAACCCGGGAATGAGTTAGGCTTTTACCACTTCTGGTTCCTTTGTGTAAAACCAGAAATCATGTGGTTACTAAAATCATAAGAGAATTTCATGTTTTATACAAAAACGTTATGAAAACCAGTTGTGAATGTCCGAAGCTTCTGTGTGTCATAAAAAAGCTGTTGCTAACAAGAGCGACTAAATGAAACTGCTGAAGGTCATCATGCCATAAACAAGACCGCCTTTAGCTGAGCAGTGGTGACATGCAGCAATACAACGTGATGCAATGTGTTTATACCCTTACGTTGGCTATTTCATTCTGTAGATTTCATTTACACTTCAAAATCATAAAATGGTGTGGAGATTACCCTGCTGAACAAAACGTGGCTGTATCACAAACGTTTGTTTGCCACAGGCCTTACTGTATTTTCTGCATTATTCCAAAACCCAATTGGCTTTTTGTCGAGGGAGCCCTTGTGATTCCTACTTCCAAGTCGGCCTTCAATAATAATACGTCATCACTGCGCCAATCTATCACAGAATAACTTCTAAACATTAGTGACAAGCAGCAACAGCCAAATACCTCAAATCTGACCTCCCTAATATGACAGCATAACAAAAACACAAAAGAAACGTTCAAATTTAGTACAACACTGATCTAAAAATATCACTTGGAGGGAGAAAACAGTGTGCTGTGTTCTCGCTTTTCTAGCTTTGCAGTGCCTCTCAGCATGTATCTAAACAGAGCAGCTGTACAGGGCTCAGCGGGCGATACTGTACTGCGCCTCCAGCTACTGGACCATGACCAAAACCTTTGACCTGTGGAGAACATATGACCACAAGCGTCCACAGCCAAGTCTGCGGTCACATTGATCCTTTCCCTATGGGACTGGGGGTTTCTGTGTGTGTTCCCAGCCCTGGAGGAATGACAGTGAGGCTAGAATTATCCCTGTTAAGAACTGTAAAGGACACTAGTTACAAATATATAAATAGATATCTTCAAATAAAATCTGACTCTGAATCTTTTGCAATTTAACAAGCCTTTTGTTTTCTTAGTTTCTCATCTTTATGTCTTTGCTCCTTTTATATCGTGTGTTATGCTGGGGTGATACACTCGTGTTACGCTATTTCACTTGGCTTTACACTATGGGATCATTTATGCATCAGTAATTAATTATGTTTTTTTTGTAGAAATAATCAATTTTATTCAGCTCATTTAGTCAACATACAACCTAACCATTGATAATGATTGGGGATACATTTGTCTTTTGTATAGTAAAAATAATTCAAAATTAGTAGATGTGCTTTTATTCCCATGGGCCAAAGCTTCAGTATTAAACATCTCTCATTTACGTCAATGAAATAACTACAAATCCTAACTTTCATGTTTCCAATAAAAGAAAAAATAATTAACATTAAAATGAATTACAATTTTTTAAATAATGTTATTTATTTAAAATTAAACATATAACTGATACAGAAAAGCAATATGTTTGATAAAAACCTTTTTAATGACTGAAATGTATTAAATTAAACGACAAGCCCTTGCTTGTTGAAGCACATTTGTATTGACATGTTTCTGATTCCCTTGCCTTCTTTCAGTCAAACCCTCCAAGCCGAGGTGCTGGATGGACGGCAAACTCCTGGGGGGAAGTGATGTCAAGCTGAGCTGCAAGTCTAGCGACGGCTCCGACCCCATCAACTACAAGTGGGAGCGAGTACTCGACAAAGGCAAGAGTCTGGGCAAACTGCCAAACCTGGCACTGATAGGTAAGGAAAATAATTGCCTCTACACTGACTTGCTGATTCATCATACAAGGCTTCTGCAGACGAATGCTACAAAGATTCAATTTTATTATAAGTGATTTTTATGGGCAGCATTTATCCTAGGAAGTGTTCTGCTGAGCACACCGTCTTTCTTTCGCCTCCTCCCAACTTCACATTTTATAACTTTGCGAACACGGACACCTAAATCTGCCCAGTACAACTACGATCCTCTCTGATTCACCACATCATTAAGTTACAATGCTTTACTAAAGGGCACTTGGATTGTCCCAATTAGGCCACCGATTCTGCAAGTGTTTCTCATCTAAAGAACAGTGCCAGTAGTATACCATATACAGCTAAAGACCACATTATGCATACTACATGTGTTTTTCCAGGAAATCAAACAGAACATGTCCCTGTGATTCCTTCTTGAACTCTGTTGGGATGAGTTATATAAACACGAGGCTCCAGTCTGATACTGTCATCTGCTGGAGATGTCAGTGACGCTGAGATGTCAGTCTGGCTCAAGTGATCTATTCCTGCCTGCATTCAGTGAGAATAAACGGAGCGTTTCCTTGGATTGTGTGCAAAGTGGAGAAAATCAAATGTAATACACTGGCTGCTCCGACTACATCCTGCACCAAAGATAATAAAAAAAAATTGGCTCTCTAGTCGCCCTGAGGCACGCTTCATTCACATGGTGTGGGTTCTGGCATTCCTTTTGGGTCATAACCAGGCATATCCACCTCTAAACAGTAACAGAGACAGTTTATATCAGAAAAGCTAATGGTAGGGTAATTCTCCCTTCTGTGTATACTCTCCAAAAACTTCGTAAACACCCCCGGGCTGCCAACCTCTCTGCCTCAGCTTTCCCTTCGGTGTTCAACTGGCATCCATGACGGCTTATGCACAGACAAAAACCTTCAAATGAATAACCTTCACCGAGCAACACCTGTTCAGTCTAATTAATTTTCATTGGACGATAACACACCGCGTCGGTAGCCATTATTTATGAGTCTGGTGAAAGGTAATATCGCATGGTTGTCATTGGTGGGATGACTAAATATCCCATGGGGCCGTGGGGCTCCACAAACACGCTCCTGCTATTCTCTTCAATCCTTCGCCTCGCTCTTAAATAAACACTCCTTCAATGTCCCTCTGCTCAACCACAAAATACATTTCAGCTGTCTCTCAAGTGCTGCAAATGTAATTGACGTTGTTGATAAACGTGCAGGAATGTGAAACAACATAGAGCAGACACTTGCACGCAAATAATTATTTTTGTTTTAAACGTTGCAGATCTCAAGAACCCCGAGCTCGTGACGCTGAGGAATCTCACTATGGACAGCACAGGAGTCTACAGGTGCACGGCAAGCAATGACGTGGGGGAGGAGAACTGCACCGTCGAAGTCACAATACAACGTGAGTTTTGGGAGAGGGGAAAGGGAGAGTCGACCTCTCAGCGTTCTCCTCACACCAAACTGCCGCGCTGATTGATGGTTATTGTTTCAAACTGCAGCTGGAAATACATGTATACCCCTCCCTGCCTTTCCATCCACCTCCCCTTCTCTCCCTCCCCCAGTTCTGCAACACTTCAGGGACTCACTAAACACAAGCTGGTGGCTACTGGTCAAAACCAATGCCCCAACATATATGTTTCACTGTCACACTAATACATTTTCTGGAGAGGCCCAGGACTGTCAGGGTCATATGTGGAGAAAATGACACATACTGTATAGTAGCTCAGCAGAAATAACCTTTGTGTGAAATTGGATTGTGCCGCTCCCATGTTGGGGTACTTCCAGGAAATGAGCATGGAATATAAGTATTTGTGAGAGATAAAATAATATATACTCATCACTTCCTTTTTTTCAATTCACAGACGTGAGGGATGTAGGAATGGTAGCAGGTGCGGTGGTGGGAATTTCCCTCGGTGTCCTCATTGTCATATTAATCATCTGGCTCGTCTTCCGGAAGAAAGAGAAGAAGAAGTACGAGGAGGAGGAGACTCCAAATGAGATCAGGTGAAATACCACTCTTTATTCTTCTTATGTGTTTTACTCTTATGTGATTATGAGTGCTGTCATATTTCCTCATGTGTGCTGTCATTGCTGCATCTCTGTAGGCACTGTTAGTTTAGTTCACACTTTTAAATTAGCTTAAAGGGGCCCTAGTGTGCTCCTTGGGGTTTTCCCTTTCCTGTAGTTTGTGACAAAGGTTGTTGTGCTTGTAAATGGTCTGCAAAGGCTAAAATCCCTTGGCCAGTGCTCAAACACATTGTACATGATAGGCTAAGAGGCGGGACATCTCTAAGCGGTTGACCAATCACAACAGAGCCGGCCAGCTAACCAATCAGAACAGACTTTCAGACAGTTTAAAAAGAGCACAGGTAGTAGGAGAAAAATAAATACCTTTTTGCCACAAAAGAGGTACAAAATACTTAAATGACATGCTACAATTTGTAGAAATTCAGATAAACTACTCCTCTACTACTTAAAGTGCTAACCTAATTTAATACTAGGTCATTACATGAATTTAATGTGTATAATATCTTCTTTCATCATGTTTAAATCCAGTTAAGTGTTTTGATTATCTGACAAACTAAGCTGGAACATTAACACAACCATGGATAAGCCGATGCAATATCTCTTGCAAAAAGAGATTTCCAGTGAGGGAGAAAAAGGCATGGGGGGGCTGATGAGACAGAAAAAAAGATATATTGCAACACAGTGTGTGTGGCATCAGAGCAGAGGGATCACAATGGGGCTGAATGAGTTGGAAAAAAGATTGCAATATATTTTGACTAATATTGCAATATGATATGCAATAATAGGGAATCAGGTTTATTGCCAAGTAGGTTTACACATACAAGGAATTTGCTTTTGTGAATAGTTGAGCACATACACATATAATATAAGGAAATAAGCTGTAAATTGACGATCAAAAATAGAACAATTGTAAAAAGAAAACAATTAACATATAAAAAAAAGAAATATTTACACAGAAGTGGAAGGATGTGCAGATTTTCAAAGAGGTAGTATTAGATAGGGACCTCACAGTATCAAAAGTAACAATCATTTGCACATAATTAGTCTTATTTTCATTGCTGTTATTTATATAAGGATCTGTACAAAACAACGTTTCTTTTCTCTTTTTAAGTCTTAAAATAACCACAATATTTAATTTAAAGAGGTATTTTTATTTCTCACTCTAGTCTGTGTCAGCCTCTGTGGACTGCTAATGAAACTTGTAAAAGAAACTGCCTTTTTTGTGGCAGACTGGAGTGGGTGCATATTTACTGATGTAACAATGCATAATACAGAGCGGATGAGGCGACAGCAAGCAGTAAATAATGTAGATGTGGTGTTTTCTGTTTTCGTACCATGTTCAGAGTCTGAGCCTTTCCTCTAACGAGTTGAACCAAACCTTTAGTGACGAAGAATCTCTTGGATTTAGACCAAACCTTTCTGCTGTTTAAAAACTTTCATTTTTCTTTTTCAAGAGTTATAAAACCTTTCTCTGGTGAAAGTATCGAACAGCGCACAGTGGAGAGGTTTCTATTTCTGTAGCGAATATAAGCCTTATATCAATGGGATAATATTACCTGCTGACTTCGCCCCGCCGCCCACACACCCTGGTTACCTGGTGACAGAGATGTATAATAACTGCAAAGACCCACTGCCATTTCAATCCATCCAAATTACATCACAGCATAAATTGTATTGGTTTCCGTGATTAATGCCACTGAAATGTGTTTTTTTTTACCATGAAGTTTCTATTCTTCTGTGCTAAAATAATTGAGTTACAAAGCAAAGGTTTTATTGTGTTCTCAGCAGAAACCTTTGTGTCCTTTAACAATCGTATCTGGGAACTAGTGACTTCCGCAGATTTCATTATTCAATGCAAATTTGTTTCACAAAACTAAGATGCTGAAATAAATGAGGTCATCATATTAGATCAGATTCAACTTTATTGTTGAATGTAATCTATAAAACTGGTGCCATGTGAATAAGTTCTTGGAATAGTGTAAGAGAAATATGCTTTGCTTAGCTCTTGTCAGCAAAGTTATGGAAAAAATCACTAGCCTAATTTATATTTAACTTTGGGTAAGAATATACCTTGGAAAAACCCAGTAAATATTTGAGCAGATAAGTATCATGGGGTGGGGGGTACACACATTTTTCTATACTTTGGTAACCTTAAGACATGGTGCAAGGCCTTGGCATTGGTCTTTTCGCTTTGAGGGCCTCTATAGTTGTGTTGGCGTGTCTTCCTCTTCTCTCATTTAAAGGGGCCCTATTATTATTGCTTGTGTTAGGGTTACTTCTCCTGTAGTGTGTTATATAGGTTTATGTGCATGTAAAAGTTTCCTCCACCCCCCCCCCCCCTAAAGTGGTGGACCAATCACAACAGAGCATCACAGTAGAGGCAAGAGATACTAATATGATCCCTTTAAACCTGCTACAATTTGTACAAATTCAGATAAACTATTCCCCTACTACTTACCTAATTTAACAGTAAGTCATTACATGAATTTTATGTGTGTAATATCTTTTTTCATCATGTTTAAAGCCAGTTAAGTGTTTTGATTATCTGACAAACTAAGCTGACCTAAGACCTATTTGAACATTAAAGCATGGAAACAGTGGTGGCACAAAAACTAATATGAACCTGAAAATGAGCTGAATATGTCCTCTTTCAGAAGCATAGCTGATATAAGTATGTAACTTTGTCCTCACTGTTTGATGTCTGTGTTTCTCCCCACAGGGAGGATGCTGAGGCTCCCAAGGCCAAGCTAGTGAAGCCCAACTCCCTGTCCTCGTCCCGCTCCGGCAGCTCCCGCTCGGGGGCCTCCTCCACCCAGTCCATGGTGCACAACAGCGCCCAGCGCGGCCACCGCCCCCGCCCACCGGCTGTAGCAGCTCTCAAGGAAAATGGACAGCCTCCAGGCTTCCCCCAGTCCCCTCCAGCCTACGCTTCAGTGGTGCCCAAGACCCCCGAGCCCCCCGCCACTCCCAAATACAACTCCAGGAACACGTCTGGGCCCACACCCCCAACCCTCATGGTCCCCGCCCAGACCAAGGCCTTTCAGACTGTGTAGGACTGAAAGCCCACCCCCTCCTGCAGCCTCATGAGACCCCCATCCCAGCCCAAACCCCCCGAGCCCCCTCCCAAAGACTGAGACTCTTCCATAGACAAAGAAATGCAACTAGTTAAAAGGATGTAATTACAAGAATCAATACTATAAGTCTAAAAGTACTTTTAATGAATGCATACTTAACAATGGAAACAAGACATGCTTGCCCCCAACTGAATTACATAAAACAACAAAACAAAAGAAAAAACAAGACCCGAGATGCAACACTGTTCGTGTCTCAAGGCCAAAGGCAAAACTTGTTTGTCGTCTCTTTGGCTTTGGAAGGCAGAGGGAAGTATTGTGTGCAGCGTGGTGGAAGGAGCCCCCTACAGTAGGAGAGCTTTTATGTATTCTTCAAATCAAAGGGTTGGGCATGCAGGAGAGGAGAGGCGGGGGGAGAGGAGACAGTAAAGACTGGATGATGAAGTGGATCCAAACTCTCAGCCAGACATCAACGGAGTCATACAGCTGTTGAGCTTTGAAAGATGGATAGAAGCACGGTGGAAACAAAGAGGGTAAAAACGCGAGTGTGAGACTGCTTTTTTTTTCTGTGGGAGGAGGGAAGGGGGCGATTCTCTGATTCATGTCACCCTGCACCTCCGACCTCGCTGCCTCCAGCACCTGCTCCAAAACCACAAACCCCTCCGCCTCCCAAGGGCCGGGCCGGTGTGCCCATCCATGTGGATAGACACCATGTGCGGCGTGGACATCATCCGCCTCACTGCTCTCGCTCTTTTTGTGCTCTCGTAACGAACCCGTGAGAAACCGCAGCACTCCTGAGACGGACTCACAAACAGCTCGTCTGCTAAACCAATCAGCAGGGGAAACTTCAGGTACAAGGATGTAGCAATGACAGTTAAGTCAGATCAATGGAGTTAATATAACCCCCCTCCCCGCATCCTGTCTATGACATCCTTTTCTGGTACTGAATATCTTTCCTGAATAATAAAATAGTATGTATTAGGCCTATAGCGAGTCAATACTTTAAATATAGTGGATAAGCATCTATTAGACCAGCTGGACTTGTTTTTTCTTTTCTTTCTGTTTTCCTGTGTTTCTTCTCTCTGAACAGGTTGTACAAGGGGTGACAGACCCTTCCTATATGTCCTTTCATGCATATTAAGAAGTGCCGCCAATCCTTAGGATGGGTTAATTATTGTTTTCACTCTTTTGTTAACCTGCTACATTTCTGAACTGAAACCAAAATCTGTCACCATGAATGTGAGATGTACAAAGATGGCGGATCCCATTCCTTTGAGGTACTGAATCAATATTGGAGCTAAGGCACAAAGAATTGACCTTGACGTTCAATTTTACAATTTCTTTGTCTGAATGAAGGGAGTATGATTCCAGAGACTTCAATTGTATAGGGTGTGTATGGTATCATTGACAGTGCTCTCCCTGGATCCATAACAATGGAGTGTTTCTCGATTGCTTTCTCTCTGAATAACCGGCACCTGCTTGGTTATTGGTCGAGCCGTGCTATCAGCCAATTCCCCTTTTTGTCGTATCCTCAGACAGACCCAGTGCAGTTTGATTGAAATTATCTGAAAAAAGGGGGCAAGTAGCCTATCTCGTGTGCCTTTGCAATCCCTCTTCTGGTTTTCTTTCTTTTTCCTTATCTCCAGCACACCAGTGGTTAAGTCTCTGTTCACATCCAGCTTTGAGGGTCAACGGTAGCAAATACTGAGCGATACAACGTCACAGAACTTGCCCTATAATAACAGATGTAGCCTATAGGAAGCACCCAGCAGAGTAAATTATCCATGGTGAGAAAGCATTCCCATGCCATGGGACAATGTACTGTACATTCTGTAATCAGTCTTGTTTTATATTGTATATACAGATAGATATACGCACATGATGTCATTTAATTTAAATAAGGGTATGTGAGAGGTTTACCTCTTACAAAAAAGTAAAATGGGAAACCCAGAAGTGAAATTAAACCGTGTTTTTGTTGTGGGAACAAGTGAATTCTGATGTCACCTCTCACATATTTGGTCTGTATTCATGTAACTATTATACTGCAGCAAAATAAGAATATAAATCCATATCCAGCAAGATGCTCATGAGATGTAGTATAGATTTTATTGATCCCCAGAGGATAAATATTCCTATATGTTTGGTGACTACGTGACCTATTCTAAGGCACCTCTATCAAAATGTCCCCTTGAACAGGAATGAGGCGTTAATCTTGAAAATAAATGGCCATATTTCCATTTAATCTGCAATGACTATTTAAAGTCTTTTTGGTTGACCCTAGACTTTAATCTGGCACGCCATATTTATATTCCCACTTGTGTATAAATCACCTTTGAAATGTGTGAGGCCATTCTTCATAGTGTCAAAGGAAATAAGAGGTTTTTATTTTAAAGTACTCTCAGGATATACTAATTACGCTCCAATTCAGGTTCTAAGAGGGACCACTTGTCAGTATGTCCAAAAATGTCACTATTATAGTTTGGCTTTAACCCTCAAAATGTCCACACTGATCCATAAGATGAATTGCACCTCAAAACTTTGGAAACCAACATCTGTCTAAAAAGCACCTGTGGTTTAACTTCACTTGCGGGATTTCTCACGTGATTTACCTGTAGGGGAAGTTAAGAAAAAAAAAAGCCTTTTATATTCAACTACAGACAGCGGTTCATACTGAGCAGGGAAGCTACTGTGTGTGTGTGACTGTGCGTGCGTGCTTGCATGCATGCATGCATGTTTGTGAATGTGTGTGAGTGTGTCTCTGTGGGTGTGTGCATGTAAATTCAGTATAAGCCCTTGGGCCACACCCACACACTCTCATGTTAGCCATTCAATGAGTGAGGAGGATCCAGTCATGCAAAGTAACCTCTATCCAAATTGATATGACTGCAGACTGGCAGGGTTTATTTTAGTTTTCACTGACTTTTTATGCATATTGAACTTGGCTTCACAGGCAACAGTCGTGTTTTTGCTTGTGGGGGTGGTGTTTCGAGACAAAGTACGTCCATAATTCATAATATTGTCAGCTCTGGAGGCCACTTGTACGCTCTCTCCTTGCTCTTGCTGTCTTTTAACATGGCATCTCAAGGTGCACACACATCCAAAACCGCTTAAACTTGTATATACACACACATAAACAGGTACACATGGCACATTCAGGTCCTCACGGAAACACAGGTGTGTGCTTCACGCACATTCACAGTTGCACATGCACACACACACAGTTTGCACAAACAAAAGCCCAGAAGTCATGTTATTTCAGCTCCTCCAGAATCAATTTGATGGATTGAATGTCTGAAGTTATTACGACTGACTGATGGAACCAGGATACAAAACGCAGCACAGAAAAGGCTCACTCTACTCTGCATCACACAGGGGACACACACACACAGCTATTGTAACAAAACACACAGAAATGTGCATGCAAACACACATTCACTCCAACTCTCCTATGCATTTCAACAATCTGGATAGTATAAGCTTCAAGAGGTTTTTTTCTTCCCATGGGAGTCTGTGAGAGTAGTACTGAGATTCAGGAGAAGTATAACAGGATTGATTACGAGCCAGGGCTGTAGGCTCTTGCCATTGAAATTCTCTCCACTACAGATGAAAGTAGCAGTGGAGGTGGAGGACGGGATGCAAGTCTTCCAGCTGTTAAATTCCTCCAAGCTTTTTGATTTGCTTCCCAGCAACTGCAGGTCTCAGGTGGCAGGTTCCCCAGTTTATGAGCCCTCGCGTTGCGTCTCTCCTCTCATGTGTGCAGCTTTGTGGCCTGACAAACTTGTGCTCTTTTCCAACAAATGAATTTTAAGGAGCTTTTGTCAGTTCAGTCAAGAGTGCAGGAGGAAAGTCTTAAAACGGCGTCAGCAGCACATCCAATATCATTCTTTAAAACAGTGTCCATCAGCACTATACGTATATTGTCTTATTATCAACACTGAAAGGTGCAGTAAACATTCAAATCATTAAGTGGTTATCCTGTGTTATATGATAGGTGTATCAATCTCATGTAGCCACTATTTTTTATGTTCTATTAAGCAGTTTTATTTCTGATTAAAGCTGTTGAGCAGGGCAAAGTGATGCTAAGGCTGTGGTTTGGCCTTGTATGTCATTATAAGGGAATGTGATGTATTGCTTCTTTTGAGTGAGGAGATGAACGGGGGCTCCACCTCAATAAGGAAAGCAACGGTACCTGCATGTCAAAGGAGATTGAGCAGACGAACGGGAATGCTTTGCTTTGATGTAACATAACTGTATTCGACTGAAAATATTAAAAAAAAAAAGAAAAAAAAAATCTACAATTGTAAATATACTCACAGAAGATTTTATGAAGCTTTATTTTTGTCTTCTTCTTTGCTTTGAACTCATCATCCATGTACTTTGCACTTTTTTTGTGTGCTTTGCTCATCACGGGCCTGCGTGGGATCTGTGTGGTCGGCGGTTTCCCTTGACGACATTGTCTCGATGTCAGGGGAAGACACGCTGAGCGTCACTAAAGGGAAATGTAAGACACTTTTGTTTTCTTTACTCTCATCTCTTTTCTGCCGTGGCTTCTCTTTGGTTTTATAAAAACAGTACAGAAATGTTTTGTTTGTTCGTTTGATGAAAACAATCCATGTAAATATCACAAGTAAAAAATGTATATTTTTACGACTTCTGAGTTATTACTCTTTCATTTGCAAATAAAATATTCAATGACAACTTAATTGGTCTTGTTGCATCTTGATTTGGAGTATCGCCTTTTTTGAAAAGAGTAACATTTGAAAAAAATCAAGAATCACACTGAATATGTTTAACACTCCTGAGTGAGATATATGTGTTGTGTCTTTTCTGTGCAATGGGTTTGGGAGAGTATTATTGTCACCTCTTACAGTGCCAAGGTTAAAGTCTCCCTTTCATTGTCTTCGCTCGGAAAGTCCAACGTTCCTAAGCTAAAAGCCTAAAAGCTAACTTAATTCACATAATAACAAATTCTGTTAACTAACTTTTAGGTATTTTCAGTTGACATGAAAAAACATGAAATACCTCAAAATGACTATAGATTGCCATTGCATGTTGGAAAGATATACATAGTCTCCAAACTGTCTTTTTAGTATGTAAAGTCACTTTTCACTTATCTTGAAAATACCTCAAAATGGATTTATCTTGCCCCCCTTCAAGATGAAGTAAAATAGCTTGATCAAAATATGAACATTTCAGTTTCTCATTTGGAAAACCTTGAAACCAATTGAACTTCCCATCAGGCTCTGCTACTCTTAGTACACTAAAGAGTACTTCTTAGTGCTTCTTAGCAAAGGTTAGCATTCCATCATGCTAATAGATGTTGAACATGGCTAACATTATGCCTGCTAAAGACCAGCATGTAGGCTACGCATCGGCATGCTCACAACAGGGCTACTGTTTGGGCATTTATAACTGAATACAGTGGCAGAATGTTTAGTAGTGATTTTTATTTCTTTATACAAATGTTGTATTCATGTAAGAGTAATGAAGAGTATGCACTTTCATTTTAATAAATAGGAACCATTCAGATTCTTTACACATCCATGGCTTAAACATACCACAACACTAGAATGGGCCTTTAAAGTATGTTGTTACACACATAGACGTCCTATTTTATAGCGCTGTAACTAAGCCCAGTATTATTTCTGTTCTTATTATCTGTGTTCTTAGAGTAGCTGAGGATGCAGACACTCGGTAGAAGCCTCCTATTCTCCTCCTTTTCAACGTGACACTCAAGTTCGTAGCAACAAGGTCAGCGATATCCATGACCTGTCAGCCACTTATTGACTGACATTTATCTCCTCCCTCTGAAAAGTTCTTCCTATGTTGATAATCTATTGAACTGCCAAGATGGATTGCCTTTGTCGCCCCCGGTTAAAGAGACAGTGTGTGACTTTATCTCTACTTCAAGGATGCACACAAAAGGTACGAAAGATACTGGCAAGTGGGTTAAAAGAGTGGAAATAATACTCTGAGTAAATGCACTTGAACGCGCCATGGAGGATAATGCAATTACAGGCATCAGCTTGTTGAGGATTGGGCTGCAGACTGCTTGCTGAATTAAACACAGCATCCATATTAAGCAAGATCACATTTTTAAGGCCTGATCACTTTTCACCACTTTCTGTTTAATGCCTCTATGCCTTTTGTTCCACATGACTAGCCATGTGTGAAGACACTGTCATAAGCCCTGGCATGCCCACGCACACACACGTATCAATACAGGCTGTGTGTTTTGCTACTGCTTGGACCATCAGGAAACTCAAAACGGTTAGTTACTGCCTCAGAAAATGTATATTTTTTAAATGTTGTCTATTTTTTTGCATATTTAGGTCACATCAGTGTTGTTGCAAATCATCTAATAGCATGATGTGTCACAATCGTGTATTAACACGGACATTTACACACTAATTAGTACAATTAGCCCCAATTCGAAAGTGATAAATATGTTATCACACAGATAGGACATGTTTTGCTCTAAGCGAACTTTTTAGACTAATTAATACCAAATCTCATTTTGCTCTTGGTCTTTCTCTGTAATCTGCTAAAGTAAATATTCGCAGATTGCCACACAAGGCCTTCAGAATTGAAGTCTGTGATATAATTGCACCCTCTGGTGTTGATTGGGGATAACTCTGGTGTTATCTGTGACGCGTATAGGCTCTTAATGAAATGAGAGAAATCATAAATCACACATTATTCACCATCAGCTGAGATTAGTTCTTTGGAAATCTCATATATAAATGAAAAGGGCAGCTTCTGGCAAATTTGGTAACGTGAAAGTCTAATTTCAGGAGCAGAGCCATGTTGGTGAATCCCTTTTTTAATCTAAATTTGTGAGGCCTGCACAACGTTCTCCTCTTTTTGTTTTTATCTTATCACTCATCACCAGATCCCATTTCCAGCGTCCAGATACAAGACAACTGTAACCCAATTTAACCAGGATTACGGTTCAAGATTCTAATTAGGAGATAAGTACTAAAGGAAGTTATCCCTTCATAGCCACTGCAAGTTTTCCTTCTGATCTCGAAGAAAGAACATAACTGTAGTAATTTTAGTGGGTACAGTGGCTTTGATTAAAGCTCCCTCTGGTGGACTCTTTAATGTGCACCACCATACACAGAGGAGTGGGAGGGCAGCATTAGAGTAGACTAATGTTAATGTTTTCATTTTAATAAAGCAACTTAAATCCATGGGTTTTATTAATCCGAAAGCAAATACCCTACAGCCGTAAAAAGAGTGAAATATTTTAACTCACCACCGATGGTATTAAATTGACTTCCTTTATTGTCGGTCTGTTTGAAGAACACTGTAGTCTCACCAGTGCTTTGTGTGTATTTGCTCTGATTATCTCTGGGTTATGAAAATTGCACTGTGACCCACATCTACTGCACAGTTCACTCTCTAACAACTACACTAATTATAGGGCTGCCATCATTTCAGATAGAGAGGTTAATAGCATGCTATTTTTGACACTCATCCACTGCTCCTGCTTTTAAAACTCAAGTTTACTTTGCATATAGATAGATTAAGGAGAAATTAACAATTTATGGAGACTACATTGTAAATGAACGCATACTGTGTGACAGGCTTAATTATGATTAATGCATATGTGACATCTCTGAAAAATGAGAGCATTAATTTACATTGCTATTGTCTGACACTTAAAGTTTAGCGGAACTATGTTAATGCAGAGCTTCTCATTTACGAAGAATCACATTTGTTGGTGCTGTGTCCAAAAATGTCTGCACGCTCGCTTCACAAGCTTACAATAGTCTCAATATTTAATCGTTAAAGAATTAGATTTTCCTTGTTAAAGCGAAGAAGCAAGATGCATGACTATCAATTTAGTAAACTAGAATCTTAATTCTCAAAGCTATTAGTCCATGTAATTGAACAATTAGGCAATAAATGATAGATTATCTTTGAATAGAGCAAGCAAGTCAAATTAACTGCAGGCTAAATTAGACAAAGGAGATCCATAATGTTATGCTCTAAAGAGGAGAAGCACTCAGCTGTGGATTTCACCCTCAGACTCTCAGACTTCGGACATGTGTTATTTCTCCCAAACTTACAGTTAGAGCAGTAAGCGATTTAAGGGGCGATGCCATTCAAAATGCATGCCCTTTGCTAACCCCCTCTTCATTATTCAGGAGCACAGAGAGAGTGCAGGGGCAGAGGATTTGTTGGAATATGTTAGTTTATTGCCTGACTCATTGATCCTCCATCTGGGATTTGTGCAAGTTAGAATCTATGGCCCCAACCTGAGCTGTGAAATATCAGTCGAACTGTGCAGTTTATTGATAAATCCATGGCGTTGCCCGTGGTGCTGAACTAGCAAACAGATTTGTAATTGTGAGTTTGTCTCTGAGGCCCGTCTTGGATCTATAATATTCTCTAAACCATGGAGATGAACCATCAATACAGAACCAGAAGAGATCGTGGGGCTCTGAATGAAAAGAGCCAGGATGGTCCTCTCTGCAAATGAACAAATGTCATACTGATAAGGGAGACTTCAGTTTGCATGATATCAAGATCAATTTTCAACATCACAAATGGACTGACAAATCAGTGTTTATTGGAAGAATCTGAAGGGCTCACAGGCCATCAAAAGGTTTCTGCCTTATACAGAAAAACCTATAAGTACAGGCAGACCTAAGGAACATCTTTAATTATATTTATGTAAGCAACAGAAACTAATATTGTTGGTTTTATGTCATACACAATAAGACCTATATCATTTAACATGTACGCTACTGTAACTACAGGCAAAATGCTACCCTATATTGCTTCGATAAAATTATACAAATTTAAACACAAATTCTCGAACACCTGCATACAGGTTTTCCGGTACCACTTTACAATAAGGCCACCCTTATAAAGGGGTTCTCGAATAGTTTGTAATTCATTTATTAATTAGGTTGTGAAAACTTTATAAATCATTAATAAGCTTTTATAAGACATGAGATAAACAGGGCAACTGTGACCGGTTGTTTGCCAAATAGTGAGCCCACATTTATCTGTACTGCTAAGCCATTGGCTACTTAGCTTACTTTGTCTTCTTCATCAGCCAGCATCCTTGGTATCTGTTGTTCACTCAGTTGATTCTCGCTAAGTAGCCAATATAAGGCTTAGTCATCTTGCCAAATAGTGAGCCTGTGTCGATGTATGAAAACTATGTTAGAACTGGTTTATAAATTGTTCTTAATGATTAATAAAGTGTTTACAACCTAATTAATAACCTAATTATAAACCCTTTATGAATCCTTTACAAGGGTAGTCTTATTGTAAAGTGGTACCGACGGTCTTAATCTGTACATTGCAATCTTGAATAGGTGTTCTATTTCATCCTTACTGACCGCCAGAGGCGGTGCTTTAGCACTGGATATCTTCCGTCTCGCGCATGCGTAGGTCGAATATTTATATCAACAAAGTCACGTGTGACCTCGTATGACCCCGGAAGGCATAAGTTCCGGCGTTGTTCCTGTTCCATCCTCCAGTTAACTGAGTGCTCTCGCTCAAAGTTAACTTGCTACAGCGCTAGTGAAGAGAGTGTTTCCGCTCCCCTCTCCCGGCACACAGTTGGTTCCTGTTCCATCCTCCAGTAAACTGAGTGCTCTCGCTCAAAGTTAAAGGTGACCTATCATGCAAAATGCACTTTTGTACTTCTTTTTTACATGAATATGTGTCCCCGGTGTTCCAG